ACTATATATATATATATATATATATATATATATATATAGTTTGTCGCATTTCAAAAGTGTTAGTGAACTTGGGGCGTGACACCTTTGATGACCAAATTTGGTCCCCAGTCGATGTTGAACAGCTTGGGGCCCTCTAGGAGAGCAAGAGATTCAGCTGTGGTGGAGTTGGCTAAGCCGATCGGGGAAGAATAGGAGGGCACCTAAATAATTCCTAAAGAATAGGAGGACAGAGGTACGCTAATTGGGGAAGAATAGGAGACCAAGAGATTCAGTCTGACAAATTTTCAAACTAAAACCTAACCACATTTAAGAACACGGTTCACTGTATGTTTAATGGCATTCTCTTTTGGAAGATGAACTTCTGATCATTTAAAGAATTCGGTGATTGTAACGTAGGCTGTGGCACGGTGGTAGAAAAGTAGATCTTGAGGAAGGCCTAGGGTTCAAAACCCTGTTTATGCAAAATCAAACCATGCAAACTTACGCCATTTTTGTATCTTTTAGTGATTTGCTTCACATGGGTTTAGAAAATGTAATCAAATGCAAAAGGAAGAAGTCAAACATTAGTGTTATTTCCATTCCTAGCAATTTAATGTGAACAACACTTGATTATAATAGTTGAAGTCAAATGAATAACACTTGATTAGACATACCACTAATGTCTGTCATCTTCCATTTGCATTTGATTACATTAATCAACTATTCTAATCAAGTGTTGTTCATATTAAATTCTTCCATTGACTTCAACCGTTGCTAGGAATGCAGAAACCAATAATGCTGATACTAACGAATAACTGTCATTGAAATTCTGAATACTGTCTTAAAAACATCTTAAATCACTTCCCATTTTCTTCCCGTATTTCAGCCATGGGTTGTAAGTCGGGACCATCAATAAATCGGCTCACCATAAAATCAGAAACAAATTGTTTTTTTTTTTTTTTAAATTCAGATGAAAAAATCAGATAAAAAATACGGATCAGCAAACATACTTCACATAAAGATATCACTAATATATCGGATTAAGCTTAAAAAAGCGTAATTAAAATAACGGAAAAATTTATAATATTATAAATTTTGGAATTCTAAAAAATAAAAATTATGTCCAAGCCATCAATTACTAATTCATCTATAAAAACTTTACTAGTCTAATATAATTAAGTCAATTAATTTAGATGTCTCGTAACTCTTATCTAATCATCCAATATTAAATATATAATTAATTAGTATATACCAAAAAAAGTACCATATAAATCTACCCATTAAATACTTTAAGAAAGATCACATCTACTTATTACATACAAAAACAAATATACTATATAAATGTATCCATTAAAATACTTTAAATATGGTATGGTGACAAATAGACTATAAATTTATTCATTAAATACTTAAACATAACTCCTACTAAGCAGGTACCAAAAAGTAAATACACGATTTTTTTTTTCTCATTAAAATTATTTAATTATAGTATGGTGACTATGGTCACTCCATAATTATGTTTAAAATTTTATAAATTTCTTTAGTTGAAAAGAAATTCCTAAAAATTTGGGTTTTACATCTGCCTTTACTATGTAGAGAGAGAAGAAGGAAGAATGACTAAGGAAGAAGAGAAGAAGGGAGAAGAGAGAAGAGAGAAGAGAGAAGAGAGAAGACCGAAGAGAAGAAAATAGGCTCGGCTCATAGCCATTAGGGTTTATAGAGAGAAGAAGGAAGAAGAAAATGGTTTTCACAAAGGGGCCTAACTGATTTTTAGAGAGAGAGAAAGAAGAACCCTAATGGAATAGGCCCTAACTGATTTTTAGAGAGAGAAAAAGAAGATGGGATGCTGATTTGGGATAGTTTGAAGAGGTTTTTTCTCTCTGATTTGGTACAGTTTGAAGAGAGCTTTTCATTTTCTTGAGGAAACAGAGCTGAAGGATTAAGTTTGGGGAACTAATCCTATTTGTACAATTACTGGCTGCTGTAAGTTTACAATTTACACAATCAAAAATAAAATATTGATTACTTGGTCCTGTAGTCACACTCACTGCTTCTCATTCATAAGTAAAAAATTATGCTTTGAGCTTTAATTTGTGCCATTAGCCGTTTTTTCATAAAAACAATTATCACAAATAATCATAGCAATTTGCTTGTGTATGATTTCTTTACACAATGATTTACTTTACAAAATGATTTGCTATAAATATTATTTCATTTACAAAATGATTTTTCAGAAGGACAATTGAAATTTGCATCTATTTGATTAAGTTTTTTTAAAAATTCATACCATCAATCTGCAACTTTGGCTAGAAGAACTTAGTGGGAATAAAAGTTTCTATTTTAGTTTTATTTTTTTTAAGTAAATTTTTTTTTTAAAGTATGAAAGTAGCAATGGTTGCAATAGACAAAACAGGAAAAAAAAAAAAATTCAAAAAAAAAAGGTAAAAAAAGATACGGTTTTTCCCCTGATTTAAATCGTATTATGAAAAAAACCGGTTTTAAACGGGTTTATCAAATTACGTGATTTTTGCCGACCTTTTCAAATAGTCGCCGTTTAAAACTGTTTCCATAAAAACGCAATTTTTTTTAAAAATCGCTGATTAAATGGCGATTTACCGACTATGGTTTCAGTAGAGTGATTCGTCCACGTGGGCACCATATATACTCAGTTAAAAATGTAATATCCCATCCTTTTCCACTTAGAAGTAGCTCTAAACAAAAAAACAAATCAATGAAAAGATAAGCTCGTCACCTTTTAATTTGAACATAATCATCACCATATGCTCCTTGCACTATGACTGATGACCGAAAGACTGAGAGGAAAATAGATAGAATTTCAACCTTATAGTTTAAGCTATTTGAATGTATTTATTTTCCTTGTAATAACTAATCATCAGTGCCTCTATCTTCCCTCTACAATGCACATCAACTGGTTTAGCTATCTCAAGCAAAGAGCAACGAACAACAACCAATTGGGTATTGACATGTTTCAGTACCTCCAGAGCCCTAGGGCTTTTGTGCATTAAAAGATAATGCTCGAAGTAAAACTCTATGATAAGTGTTCGTATTGTTGAATACGCTTCAGCTTTTTTAGTGTGCTCTGGTCATCTGTAACAGGTGAGGGACTTCGGGTTTTTACTCTTTGTTCCTCGTTATTTTCTTGCTTTCCATACATCTGGGTGGACATTGTTAATTTTTTGCATGTTTCCTTTGGGAGTTGCATATTGCCTAATCTCTTATGTGACTTCGAATCTTTCATTTCTGGAGTTTGAAATTCAGATAACTGGATTTTGTCTTTGAATGGGTCATTCTCATGAAACTTTAACCTAATTCTTGAATTTCTGTGAATTAGTTTGCCTCATTCAGAAGCTGATTCTCGGTGGGAGGACAAAGTGCCTGCAAAAACGAGGCCTCTTGAAATGACAGAAAAGAACTCATAGAAGAAAAACGCATAATGAGCAATGCCATCAATCAAGAGAGAGAATGAGATATTGGAGAGATAGAGAACCTGTATTCGTAGGTATCATCAAAATGTTTATCTGAGTATTGGATCAGACCCATGTTCTTCTCAGGTTGACTCTAAGATCTGTAAAAGAATAAAAGTAAAAGGAAAATAGGAGAAGGAATTAAACAGAGAATTAAAATGAGGAAGCTCACAGAAAATGCAGAGAAAAGAAGAAATGTCCAACGGTGAGAGAGAGAGAGAGAGAGAGAGTGAAGTGGTAACAAAGAGGAGCTCACCTGGAAACAGGAAGAACCCTCCAAGGGTCAGGTCAGATGAGAGAGAAAGTGTTAACCTGCTTGCACGACACAGGTTGGTGGTGGCGCCACAATCACATTTCCCTCTCGCTATAAAATATGACTTCCTCCTAACAAACAAACAATTGCCCTAAAAATGAGGCCATAGGGAGGTTTGTTTCGTTTCCGTTTGGTTTTTTTTTTTTTAAAAAAGTTTTCTAGTCCCACACGACTATGCTGTCTATTAATCCCAAAATCCATCAGGACTAACATTTTGAGACCAATCGGTAAGAGATAGTAACCACACCTTCATTAATTAGCAGTTGAGTATGTTGGGATACCGCCTTGTTGTGTTAAGTATCAAGCTTTCCACAAACCAACTAGGGTGAGGTTTGTATACGGTGTCACTCTTAAACAGTTAAGGTGCATCTTATAAGATATTTTTTTAGTATAGAAAATCTTATTTTAAAAGTCTATTTTTGACTTCTATTATGGAATTGAAAGCTTCAAATATAGTGTATATCTATGAACATTTGAAGATCTTAAAAACAGATGGTCCAGATAATGTGTTATAAGATGTACTATTTCTAAAGCTTAAAATTCATGTTTTTCTTTCATATCCATACATATCGAGGTCAAAATGATCAATTGAAAAAAATTTTGATGACTAAATAATATTCTTCAATGGGTTTGTGAGGTTTATCTACCATATAAGGTTGACACCCTATTGAGCAATTGCTTGTAGCAAAGCTGTTATATTGGATAGAGGGTTTTGTGTAGCTACATTGTCTTCTTCATTAGCTACACCTAAGCAAAGCTGCGAAATGATTAGAAACTTGAACCTGGGCACTCACTAGATATGGAAGAGTGCTTTATAGATATGGAAGAGTGCTTTATTTCAGCTAGCTAACCCAAAAAAAAGAAAATTATAAATTGCTCTTTGTACGCCTTTGAAAACCTGATGTCTCGAGATTGAACAGGGATTTGTCCAATATTTTAGAGGATAAGATTTAAGTTTTCTAAAAGTCAAAATTTTAAAAAAAATTCTTTTAAAATAACCTTCTAGTGAATTTTATGTGATTCTAAATTTGTTTTTTTTTAAAATCTCCTACATAGGTCTTAGACCCAGGAAGTATATATACAATATGGTCCCGAGGATGATGAGTCTTCCTTTTTTTAGGGAGGGAGGGAGGCCAGGTCAGGAGCACAACTCAAGTAAGAGGAGACCGCTTCCCACGTCTTTAATATTTAATTGTTTAAAAAACAGAAAAAATATGTGAGATTACAGGGAACCAACAAAGAGCCGCACATGAAAATCATCCCTTTCTCCTCCGAGAAAGGCGCCCCATCTCTCTCATTTCATTGGTTGAGTTGATTCGGTCATCTCAGTCCCTCCAGGGAGGAAAAGCAGGGCTCTGATTTGCAAGAGAGAAAACCAAGTCCTTTGTTTTCTTTCTTCTTTCTCTTTGAATTGTGGCCTCTCCCTGGAGAAAAATAGCAGTGGAATGAATAATGGGTGGTTGTAGGTGATATTTGCCCTCTCCTCTCCACCACCCAGCGAGGGAGAGGGGCTGCTGCATAAGCCATAGCTAGCAGGAAAAGAAAGAGCCTCTTTTTTTCCCTCATCCTCCTATCATGGACACGCAGATTAGGATGGTGATGGTGGTGGTGGTGGTGGTGGTGGCTGTGGTGGCGGGCACGATGGAAGCAGCTCTTGGGTCGGTGGCGAGGTTCGAGCCGGCGGACAGCTACCTTCTTGACTGCGGGGCACAAGGAGGGAGCACCAAGGCGGACGATGGCAGGATATTTAAGTCCGACACTCAGTCTACTTCCTTCCTCTCCACCCCTGAGGACATCCAAGCCTCTGCCAATGGCAACGCCTCCTCCCCCCTCTACCAAAGCGCCCGCATCTTCACAGAGCAGTCGACCTACACATTCTTTGTTTCACAGCCCGGAAGGCACTGGGTCCGCCTATACTTCCTCCCCATCCACCACCCTTACTACAACCTCTCTGATGCCGTCTTCTCCGTCACAACTGACCGCATCGTCCTCCTCCACAACTTTGCCGCTCGCAATGTCGCTACCCCCGTGTTCAAGGAGTACCTCGTCAACCTCACCTCAGAGAGCGTCTCCCTTACCTTCACTCCCACCACCACCTCCATTGCCTTCATCAATGCCATAGAGATTGTGTCTGCCCCTGACGCCCTCATCTTGGACGACGCTTCAGCCCTCACGCCCGTGGGGGCCGATTTTGGGGGCCTCTCGCAGTATGCCCTCGAGGTGGTGCACCGCCTCAATGTCGGGGGCCCTCTCATCACCCCAAAGAACGACACCCTCTCCAGGACCTGGGCCCCTGATAGCCCCTTCCTCGCCATTCCCTCTGCCGCTCGTAACGTCTCCGTCTCCCCCGGCATAATTACCTACCCAGAGGGTGTCTCCCCTCTGCTCGCCCCCAACTGGGTCTACGCCTCCGCCCAGGAGATGGCTGAGTCTGGAGTCGCAGCCCCCAACTTCAACATCACATGGGAACTCCCTGTTGACACCTCCTTCTCCTATCTCCTTCGGCTCCACTTCTGTGACATCGTCAGCAAGTCCCTCAACGACCTCTACTTCAACGTCTATGTCAACGGTAGGATGGCCACCTCCGGCCTCGATCTCTCCACCCTCACCTCCGCGCTCGCTGTCCCCTACTACAAGGACCTTGTCGTCAATGCTTCCGCACTCACCAGGCCCGGCAACATGCTTAGGGTGCAAGTTGGTCCCATGGGGGAGGGGAGCACCGGAGGCACCCCCAACGCCATCCTCAACGGCCTCGAAGTTATGAAGATGAGCAACTCCGCCGGCAGCCTCGATGGCTGGTTCTCGGTGGAGGGGTCCAGGATCATCTCCTCCCAAGGGAAGGGGAGTGGCAGCAAGCTGGCTGCGGGTGTCGGCTTGGCCATGGCCCTTGGGGCCATTGCCGGCGTGGGTGCCATGGTGTTCCGCTGGTACCGCCGCCCCCAGGATTGGGAGAAGAGGAACAGCTTCTCGTCATGGCTGCTCCCCCTTCACGCCGGTGGCCACTCGAGCTTCATGACCACCAGCCAGTTGGGGTCCCACAAGAGCGGTTACTCCAACTTCTACTCCTCCACCTTGGGGCTGGGCCGCTACTTCACCTTTGCAGAGCTGCAGGAGGCCACCCACGGCTTCGATGACAAGGTGGTTCTCGGGGTGGGTGGCTTCGGCAAGGTGTACCTGGGGGACCTGGATGACGGTACCAAGGTGGCGGTGAAGAGGGGGAACCCGAGGTCCGAGCAAGGGATCAACGAGTTCCAGACCGAGATCCAGATGCTCTCGAAGCTGCGGCACCGCCACCTGGTGTCGCTCATCGGCTATTGCGACGAGCAGTCAGAGATGATCCTGGTATACGAGTACATGGCGAATGGTCCCTTGCGCGACCATTTGTACGGCTCCGGCCTCGGCCCGCTTTCCTGGAAGCAGCGGCTAGAGGTGTGCATAGGCGCCGCCCGCGGGCTACACTACCTCCACACTGGGGCTGCGCAGGGCATCATCCATCGTGATGTGAAGACCACCAACATCCTCCTCGATGAGAACCTGGTGGCGAAGGTCTCCGACTTTGGCCTCTCAAAGACCGCCCCTACCCTCGAGCAGACCCATGTGAGCACAGCCGTGAAGGGCAGCTTCGGCTACCTGGACCCCGAGTACTTCCGGCGGCAGCAGCTGACGGACAAGTCGGACGTCTACTCTTTCGGGGTGGTTCTCTTTGAGGTGTTGTGCGCCCGGCCAGCCATCAACCCGGCCCTCCCCAGGGAGCAGGTAAACCTTGCAGAGTGGGCGCTCCAGTGGCACAGGAAGGGGCTGCTTCAGAAGATCATTGACCCCCACGTCATTGGAAGCATCAATGCCGCCTCCCTGAAGAAGTACGTGGAGGCCGCCGAGAAGTGCCTGGCGGACTACGGCGTGGACAGGCCATCCATGGGTGACGTCCTCTGGAACCTTGAGTATGCCCTCCAGTTGCAGGAGGCCGCTTCCTCCGCTGTAGGGGAGGATGATCCCAGTGCCAACCACATATTACACCAACAGCGCCCCCCCACAGTGTTGGACACCACCGCCAAGGGCAGCCACAGCCGCAGCAGCAGCGATGACGAATCCGGTCCCACCCTCAGCAGCCCCATGTTCGCTCAAATGGCTGGCTGTCAAGGAAGGTAACTAGAGCTAAATGCGAATCCACACGAGGGAACCAAAATCATCATCATCACTTGATTACTGTTGGTAATGGCTCTGGTTCAAAAGAAAGGAAGATCTCTTCCTCTCTTACTCTCTAAGTTGTATTCTATCATCCATCTCTCTGTCTCTCTCTCAAAAACACAAGGCGAAGCAAAGAAGTTCTTTCTGATTTCATTTGTGTATGTGTAATCAAAACCACTTCACGATCATCATCACCCCCCAGAGGCATTGTTGTTGTTCAAGAATAGTTCTCACTGCCTGCTGCACCTCAATAATAAGTATGTATCCATTGAGTGTGTGTGTGTTTGTTTGTTGCTTATGAAATGAAGGTATGAAACTACTTTTGTAGTCGGAGAGTGCAGTTATTATTATTCATTAAGGATAACTGAACTACTACTACCATGCTTTTTGTTTGATGTATTATGTACATTGTCATCCTCTGTGGCCATTTGTACGCCATACTCTTTCCTTGCTACAAATTACATGAGTGGGTTTTATGATTCCTCTTCATTGTGCTTATCAGCACATATGCAATGGAATCTAGTTGTATTCAGGCAAGTTGTTTGGAACACACTTTGTGCAAGTCGTGCATGTTGCAAGACATTAGTTCTTCATTGTCTTTCTATTTCACTATCAATCCAATGTTAGAAAAACAGACCGGTATCCGCCCGGTTAGACCGAAACTGGCCCTCAGAAATAGTGAATGGAAAATGGTTTTCGATGAGAGTGGTGAGATCTGGGACCCAAAGAAAGGTTGCATTGACGGCGTTTGGAGGACTGTGGGATCCTTGTTCCATGTCGGGTGCAATGGTCGACTGTTTGATCTGTTTAATGGGTAACTCATTTCGCATATCAAGACCGGCTGTTGATTGAACGGTAGATAGTTAGGGTCCCATGATACCTGATGTGTTATGTACTCATAGCATCATTACTCATTAAAGATTTCCTTCATGTTTGTGTAGCGCAATTATCCTATTACAAGGATGTAAAATAGTAAGATGTAAAATTTTTTATCTTTTATTAATGAAAACCGGATAGGTAACTTCTCCTCCACTGATTTTACCTAGAAAAAAAAAAATCACTCTAGAAAAAAAAAATCACTCTAGATGTGAAATCAAGGGGTCTATTGAGAAACAAAGTTTGAAATTGATTTTGTGAAATTTAGGCCCAGTCAATGGCTATATGATGTTATATTTAAGGGTTAGAGGTGGTCGTGATTTTTTTGTAAAAAAAAAAAAATTATTGTATACTTTCTCTCGTAGACTCGGTCGAGGTAACTCGACTCGGTTGAAAAACTCGGTGGTGAGTTTTCGGTGATTACTTATATATTATATTTTATAATTTAATTATATTAATACGTCAAAACTAAATCAGATATGTGTTGCTTTGATTATCATTAACACATAAAGTTGAACCCAGTCAGGGTTCGAATCCCCGTTGTACATACCCTTTTTGACATTATTTTTCAAACGTTCTTTTTAACTTGGACTCACCCAAGTAAATCGCCGCCCGCCTGAGACTACTTTTCAAACTTCGTTTTTTAACTTTGACTCGCCCAAGTAAATCGTGGCCCCAGTACCAGCCGAACGTCTGAACATTGCTTTCTCTTAATGCAAACATGGTAGATGGGGTTGCCGCAAATGTTTTTCCTACGAGATTACATTACTAACTTAAATTTGTGCTGTATCGTTTTTTGTTTACTCCCAAGCAGTGATGGAGGAGCAATGAATATGATGAAGAATTTAATATAGAATTAAAAACTCCACACTCTACACATAAATCAGGTTACATTCGAACATGCATTCACTCGTGGTTCACTTTCCGGGCACAAAGTTGGTGGCATAGGCCCAAGCGTTGTTGTTCACTGGGTCAGCAAGGTGGTCAGCCAAGTTCTCCAATGGACCCTTCCCTGTAACAATGGCCTGAACAAAGAACCCAAACATCGAGAACATGGCGAGCCGTCCGTTCTTGATCTCCTTCACCTTCAGCTCTGCAAAGGCCTCAGGGTCCTCGGCCAGGCCCAAGGGGTCGAAGCTGCCACCGGGGTAGAGTGGGTCGGTCACCTCACCCAATGGGCCACCAGCAACACGGTAGCCCTCGACAGCACCCATGAGGATCACCTGAGCGGCCCAGATAGCCAAGATGCTCTGAGCATGCACGAGGCTTGGGTTCCCCAAGTAGTCAAGGCCACCCTCACTAAAGATTTGAGCACCAGCCTTGAACCACACGGCCTCGCCGAACTTGACGCCATTGCGAGAGAGGAGCTCTGGGAAGACACACCCCAGAGCACCGAGCATGGCCCACCTACAGTGGATTACCTCGAGCTCTCTGTTCTTGGCAAAGGTCTCGGGGTCGGCAGAGAGGCCGGCGGTGTCCCACCCGTAGTCACCGGGGAACTCTCCGGTGAGGTAGGATGGGGACTCCCCAGAGAACGGGCCGAGGTACTTGACTCTATCAGGACCATACCACGGGCTCCCTGAGGACACTGAGGGCTTTCTCGCGCTCTTCCTCATGCTCACTCTACCGTTCCCATGGACAGCGCCTCCGAACTGGGATTGAGTGCTTACCGGCAC